CACTGCTGCTCGGCCGGCCCAGCAGCAACAGCAGCTCCGCGGGACCAGCGGCTGGGCTCCTCAGGTGACTCGGGCGGCTCGGGCGGCTCGGGCGGCTCGGGCGGCGCAGGCGGCTCGGGCGGCTCGGGCGGCTCGGGCACTCAGCGGCACATGCGGCTCGGGCGGCTCGGCTCCTGAGCGGCACAGGCGGCTCGGGCGGCTCGGGTGGCGCAGATGGCACGGGCGGCTCGGGCGGTTGGGTGTCACAGCGGCGTACGGGCGGCGTGGGGCCGGGACGGCGGCGTGCGGCCGGGATGGGTGGCGCACGGGCGGTGTGGGGCCGGGACGGCGGCGCACGGCTGGGACGGGTGGCGCACGGGCGGTTTGAGGCCGGGACAGCGGCGAGGGGGCCGGGACGGGCTGCGCACGGGCGACGAGGGGCCGGGACGGTTGTGCGCGGCCGGGACGGGCGGTGCACGGGCGGCGTGGGGCCGGGACGGGCGGCGCACTGACGTCGACGGGCTGGGGCAGCGGCGCCCGGCCGAGATGGGCGGCGCACAGGCAGCGTTGGGCCGGGACGGGCGGCGCACAGGCGGCTGGGGGCCGGGACGGGTGGTGCGCGGGCGTCTAGGGGCTGGGACGGGCGGCGCGCGGGCGTCTAAGGGCGGCGCGACGGCGGCGTGGGGCCGGGACGAGCGGCGCGCGGGCGTCTAGGGGCCGGGACGGGCGGCGCGCGGGCGGCTAAGGGCGGCGCGCGGGCGTCTAGGGGCCGGGACGGGCGGTGCGCGGGCGTCTAAGGGCGGCGCGCGGGTGTCTAGGGCAGGTCGACAAAGCGAGAGAGGGCCCGGAGCGCGACTCAGGGCGAGCGCGCTTCGGGCAGGAAAAAAAAAAAAAAAACGATGTGGTGGGCCCTAAGCACAGTTCCCACGGGGGAACCTGCTCGATACCATGAGAAAAGTAGAACGAGAATGAATGAACTATGAATGAAGTGGGTACAAATAGGAAACCCTGATTGGGTTGTACCCCCTATGGGATACCCCACTATAGCCTACACAACAGCATAAGCTATAATGTTCTGACAACATATATATACTCCTGCTCTTGCTTTCTTAGCCTCTTGTATATATATATGTGCTCCTGCATGTGAATTGGCCTTCTGGCCTTGAACTTGTGCTCGGAATGTGTGGTGACTTTGTGATCCACCCTGAGCTTTGCTTTGCTTTGCTTGACTGGTCTTGTGACCCCTTGTTCTCCCCCACTTTGCCTATGGGGGTGTGTCAAATTATGATGTTGTGTAGGCTATAGTGGGGTAGCCCATATCGGGTACACATTTCTAGGGTTGCATACTTGTATCACTTTCATTCCATAGTCATTCCATTCTCGTTCTACTTTCCTCACACATACTGCGCGTCCAGTCAGTATGAGCTGGCATTTCTGATAGTGACGTGTAAATTTTCCCCTGTGCGCCGGCAGAAAATCGCTCACGCGCGAATCTGAATTGCGACTTGCTACCACTTCGATTCGATTGAAATCACAAGAAGGAGATGTACAGTTTGGTGCCAATGAATTATAAATTTGCATTTGTTATTATATAAGCGCATGCGCTTATAAATCTGACTCAAGTATAAGCGCACCCCCCCAAAAAAACACTCTTTTATTATAAGCGGAGGTGCGCTTATATCCGGGGTAATTACGGGTAGGTATCAATGAGTCTATTTCGTGAAAATATTGTCATCGCGTGTAGAGATTGCCGTAGGCAAGAGGACGGGTGTCAGGCCCTACGAAGTCAGACTTTTTTCTCTGATTTGCACAAAAAACTCTGATATTTCAGATTTTTTTTTTTCCAGTGTACTCTGTTAAAATCAGACTTTTTTGGGCCCAAACTCCGTAATTTTCAGAATTTTTTTAAGGCTAACTCTGAGCGTTCAAAGTTTTCTGAGAGTGTACTCTGATCATTCAGAGTACAAACGCGTCCTTGACTGGTGATTCGGACTTAGGGGTCACAACAGATTCGCTATGTCAACGCAAAATCGCCTTGACACAGCAAATCCGAGCCTTACATCACAAGATTTTCACCCAATCATAGCAAAATCGCCCTGACACAACAGATTTGCGCTGTCAGAGCACAACAATTTTTGACCAATCACAGAAAACTCGCCCTGACATTGCAGATTCGCTCTTTCGCACCACAAGATTCGCCCTGACACATATATTCGCCCTGTCAGAGCATGTTTTATCGGAAATACCCTTAGTGTTGTGTGTTTCGGTAGCAGATGAATGATACATTGATTACATTCCGATGAAACATTGAATACATTGTTTTTGAATGATCAGACTTTTTTTTTGGGACACTCTGAAATTTCAGCCTTTTTTTTTTATACCAACTCTGAGATTTTCAGACTAAAATTGTGTACTAGTCTGACGAATCAGACAGGCCAAAAACGAATCTGAGGGCCTGACGGGTGTATATCTCCAGGTGTTTTTACTCCACCTGCAATATACGCCAAGCCAATATACACCACAGCTACCGTATTGCTTCCCTGTCAAGATATGTTGCTAGGGTTTAGCCTTAGGAGCCATGCTAGGAGGTAGAGTGTGAGGGAGTTGGCAATGAAAAAGGACTTCACTATAGAGCTAAGGGTACAAATATGATAGGAAAGGGGGTAATCCACCAAACAGAATGTGATAACTACACTACTGCTATATCTACATGCAGTTACAATAATATAACTCTGACATCCCCCCTTAACTGCATGCAGGAATAGCAAAGCATAAATCACAACCCGCAAGTGTACTGAAAGCATTAGCACGCAAGAGCAATGACAACCAGTGCAGCAGTGGCAGAAACAACAGCAGAAACCCCTTAGCCAATACAGAAACGAAAGAAAGGTGCATGTGGCGCAGGTCGCCTGGAGAGCGGCGTGCGGCGGCAACAAGCGGCGGCACAGCAGGCTCAACGGCAGCACCTGCCGCTCAACAGCAGCAAACGAAAGAGACGAATTAAGTGGCAACAGGGGCTGCAGCTGGAGGTGCCACAGGAGCAGGGGGTGGCAGTTGCAAATGCAGGGCTGCTGCTTCTGCCACTCTCTCTCATACCCTCCTTTATCCCCCCTTACCCTCTCTCCCCCCCCCCTCCCCTCAGCAACAATTGCTGCAGGGAGAGAGGAAGAGGGAAGGGAGGGAGGAGCGGCAGGCTCCTCACACCCGCCCCCTCCCCCCAACCCCCCCCCCCACGACGGAAGGGAAGGGCGGAATCACCCACTTCCGGCGCTGGCGGTCGCGTTGGCGCTAGCGCTGGCGGCCGTCGCAGCTGCTGGCGGTGGCGCTGGCGGTCCGCGCAGGCGCTGGCGCTCGCGGCTGGCTGCAGCGTTGGCGCTCGCGGCTGGCCGTGGCGCTGGCGTCCGCGCTGGCGAAGGCGGATCGCGGGGCGACGGGGGGAGCGTGACGGACGAAAAGGGCGCACGGGCGCGACGCGAAACGAAGGGCCTGCAGAAAGCGAAAAACGGGACCCGCGGGGTTCGTCCACGGGGCGATTCGGGGGACCCGCGGGGCGCATTACGGGCGGCACGACGGGTGGGCCCATGATCATTAAAAAAAGATAGGTCCTCAGGAGAAATTCCTGCTCTGATACCATGTCAAGATATGTTGCTAGGGTTTAGCCTTAGGAGCCATGCTAGGAGGTAGAGTGTGAGGGAGTTGGCAATGAAAAAGGACTTCACTATAGAGCTAAGGGTACAAATATGATAGGAAAGGGGGTAATCCACCAAACAGAATGTGATAACTACACTACTGCTATATCTACATGCAGTTACAATAATATAACTCTGACATTCCCCTCCCCTTCCTTATGAAAAGGGAAATACAGTACTGGTACCGTAAATGGAAACACAATGTGCTGGTGCCAATTGCACTGGAACTCAACGGACACAGAACACAATACAAATAACTTTCTCTGCACAACACCATACTTCTTGTATCGTCAGCAGACAAGGCCGGCCGAAATGAATTTGAAATAGTGGTGGGAATAGTACACAAAAAAACCTAGTATTCCATATCCACCTATCCAGCTCTCGATTCATCCTCATTACTGTGTGATCTGGTAACAGCAACCCGAGCCCCTGCCCTGCGAGCAGCGGCTGCCAGAGCAGCATCAACCGCCGCTGCTGCTGCAGCCATGGGGTTGACCCCGCCAAAGAACCCTGGAAAAACGCCTGTTTGTATTGCTTCTATTGCTTGTGCTGCTTGTGCTGGCTCTGATGCTTCAGCTCGTGCTGTTCCTATGCCGTTTGCCGCTGGTGCTGCCACTGGTGGTGCTGCACCTGGTGATGCTGCACCTGGTGGGCAGGCTGCTGCTGAGTGATTGCCTGCCGCTGCTGATGGTGTTGGTGCCGGGATTGCAACCACTCCATCTGCCGCTCCTCCTACTTCTCCTCCCCTTGATCCCTCTGCTTCCCCTCCCATCACTGTTCCCCCTGCTTCCCCTCCCACCACTGCTCCCCCTGCTGCCTCTGCTCCCCTTGTTTCTTCTGCTCCTCCAGCTCTCCCTACTCCCTCTCTTTCCCCTGCTCCTTCTCTGCCTCGCTCCTCAAAGTGAGCACCTATCCTGCCTGTGGGTTCCGCAGCCACAGCAGAGCTTTCTCTCCTCCCTGAAAAGAACGCCCATGCGTCTCCTCCCGCTCGTGACTGCACTGCCGCTGCTGTGGCTGCCCCCGCTGCTGCTGCTGCTGCTGCCCTCTCTCCCACGCCACTGTCACCGCCACGTTTCTCCAGCTCCTGCTGCTGCTGTGCCTGCTGCTGTGCGTGCTGCTCTGCGTGCTGCTCTGTGTGCTGCTGTGTGTGCTGCTCTGTGTGCTGCTGTGCGTGCTGCTGCAGCAAGTTATCACCAGGAATAACCGCATGCAAGCCATGTGATGTACCATGACTTACTCTAGACTGCCCTCCTACTGCTCCTGCTGGCGCTGCTCCTGTTGGCGCTGCTGCTGCTGGCGCTGTTGCTGCTGGAACCGTTGATTCTGCTGTTCCTAATGTAGCTCCTCCTGCTGTTCCTCCCCCTCCTCCTCCTCCTCCTCCTCCTCCTCCTCCTCCTCCTCCTCCTCCTCCTCCTCCTCCTCCTCCTCCTCCTCCTCCTCCTCCTCCTCCTCCTCCTCCTCCTCCCCCTCCAGCCGCTGCTTCTTCCAGCCCCACATCCCTCTTATCACCCACTTCCACCATAGACAGATACTCAAACGCACAAGCCAAGTGCCCAATAGCAGTGTGCGGTGGCAAATGCGAATCAGCGACGACAAACCCCCCGGATTGGGTAAAGCCCCCACCATGCATCCAAGCCTGAGCATCAGTTGAAGGTCCGTGGACACTTGCAGGTATCCCACTGGTTGCCACACCACCACCAACCAGTCTTGACTCTGCTGCTAGCAAGGGCTGCTGTGCCTGCATTTCCACTGATCCAAAAGCTCCAGCAGGACCAGGAAAAGCCGACAAATCAGCAGGAATCCGCTGGCGTGGCGTCTCAAGAGGCCCAGTAGGGTCAGGGATAGCAGAGGGTTGATGCATAGAAATGGAAGTGCCAGGATCAGGTACAGGTTGAGTCATTCCCACATGGGACGAAGGCTGAGACTGTGGTGATTGTAAAGGTGGTTGTGCTAAACAATTGTTCCCATTCTGACATGGTGGCTGTGCAGTACTAGAAACAGCAGCGGTAGCAGCAGAAACAGCAGTAGCAGTAGCAGAAGCGGTGGCGGCAGCAGCACCTGTCGCCTCCTCCTCGTCTCCTCTTGTGCCTGTGGTGCCATTAGTCCCGTCCGCTGCTCCCATACTTGCAGCAACAGACTCAGCAGGCGCGGCAGCAGCACCTATCATATCCTCCTCATCCCCTCTTGCGCTTGTGGTTCCAAGGGTCCCATCTGCTGCTCCCATTCGTGCAGCATCGGGAGTGGCTGTGGCACATAAGGCTGCAGGCATATGACTGTAAGAACTCTCAAGAGCAGACAGGGTGGCAGGTGACGGCGCTGCTGGTGTTGCCGCTGGTGTTAATGGTGCTGTTGCCCCTGGTGTTGCTGTTGCTGTTGCTGTTGCTGTTGCTGTTGCTGTTGGCATGAACTGTGGGCTTGAATACCCTAAGTCATGCTCTGCTGCGTGGCTTAGTTCATGTGTATCGTATTCACCCACCATTGCTTCTCTCACACTAGGAATAGGCGCCGTTCCCCCTGCTACTGCACCTGCTGCATCTTCCCTTCTTTGCGCTGCTGCTGCTACTGCAATTGCTCCTGCTCGTTCAGGGTCTGCTGGTACAGCTAAATTGTCTCTCGCCTCTGCTGCTGCAGATGCTGCGGCCATTGACAATGTCACATCAGGCCCAGCAGCAGATGATGATTGTGCTACCCCTGGTTGTGCTCCCCCTGGTTGTGCTGCCCCAGGTTGCCTCAATGATGGTTTTAAGACTGTTAGCGGTCCTGTTGATGCTGCTGCTACTTCTGCTGCTGCTGCTGCTGCTGCTTGTGCTGGTGCTGCTGTTGCTTGTGTTGGTGGTACTGCTGCTGCTACTGCTGCTTGTCCTGGAGCCACGTCAGTTGCTTGTGCAGAAACACCCGATTGTGTTGCTGAGCCTAGCCCTGCAGCCTCAGCCGATGAAAGCACACCAGGGGATGCGCCTCTAACCAGTCTTGCCATTGCTGTTGCTGGCGGTGCTGGTACTAGTGCTGCTCCTGGTGCTGGTGCTGGTGGTGGTGGAGGTGCTGCTGCTGCTGCTGCTGCTGGTGCTGCTGGTGGTGGTGGTGCTGCTACTGCTGCTGGTGCTGCTGCTGCTGATGCTGGTGCTGCTGCCACATCAACTGCAGAGGACTGCAGGAGGACAGACCAATCCTCTCGGTCGCTGCCGCTGATATTGATACTATAGCTGTCTTTTCCACAGGCGCTACCATCACCACTACCACCAGTACCAGCAGCTGCTGCAGCAGCAGCAGAGGATGAGGCAGATGTGAAAAAATGGTTACTGAGGTTATTCTGCTGCTGCTGCCCATAAAAGGAACCATGATTACCTTTTGAGGGTGCAATTGAAGAGGCGAGATTGGTGGTAGTGGTGGTGGCGACGGTGGTGGTTGTGGTTGGATAAGCGGACAATGCAGAAAGGAGATAAGATTCAGCTGCAGAGGAGGAGGCAGCAGGGGGAGGAGAGGAAGACTGATTCACCCACTCTTGCTGCCACTGCTGCCACTGCTGCTGCCACTGCTCCCGCCAATCATGCCCTTGCTCTTCCTCCTCCTCCTCCTCTTCCTCCCCCCCCTCCCCCTCTCTCCCCCCTTCCTCGTCCTCCTCATCATCTTCGAAGGGGTATTTGCCTGCGTGCTGCTGCGCCTGGTGGTTGACTCGGTAGTCGGGTGTGCCGAATGACTCGATGTCAATGCTGAGAGGAGGGGAGGGAGGGAGGCGAGGAGGGTTTGATTCAACTCAAAACGCAAGCGTGCTGCTGCGACTGGTGGTTATTTCAGTCTTCTGGGGAACCGAATGACTCGATGTCAATGCTGAGAGGAGGGGAGGGCAAAAGGGGGCGGGAGGGAGGCGAGGGGGAAAAGAGAAGGGAGAAGTTTTGAGACATCTCAAAACTCGACTGGTGGTTGATTCTATGGTCGGGTGTGCCTAAGACTCGATGTCAATGCTGAGAGGTGGGGAGGGTGGGAGGGAGAGAGGCGAGGAGGCTTTGAGTCGACTCAAAGTGCGAGCGTGCTGCTGTGACTGTTGGTTGATTCTGGGTCTGGCGAGCCAAATGACTCGATTTCAATGCTGAGAGGTGGAGAGGGGGAAGACGGGTGGGAGGGGGGCGAGGGGGAGAAGAAGTGGTGAGGAGTAGGGGTAGGGGAATGCTGGGGGGGGGTGTAGAGTGGTAAGTTTTGGGGCTTAAGGGATGGAGGTTATCATGGATAGCACCGCATGTTTGTACCCCTGCTGAATTAATACAAAGGACCGTTTGAGAGAGAAATATTGATTCGGCCAAATGCCCAAATGTTGATTCGCCACATGCCCAAATGTTGATTCGCCACATGCCCAAATGTTGATTCGCCACATGCCCAAATGTTGATTCGCCACATGCCCAAATGTTGATTCGCCACATGCCCAAATGTTGATTCACACAAGCACACACGACTTTCGATTCGGCCCAAGTGCACCCACACATGCCCGTGCACGGCACACGTGCATGCATGCCACAGGCACACGCATGTGCAGACTAAAGAAATCCACGTTCCTCATGTGCACATGCACATGCACATGCACATACACATACACATGCACATGCAGAGAGGCCTACTTTGTGAGACGCCTCGCAAAAGGCCTCTCTCTTCAAAAAGAAGGCGCCCAAAGTAAGATGCCTAAAAAAATACCCCTCAAGAGCCCCACCCACCTGGTATCAGAGCCTCGGAGGCTGTTGAAGCGATAGAGCCCTGCAACAGCCCTTGCTCCCCCACGCGGCCCCTGCTCTCTGCCTGTGCGGGCAGACAAGGACGCCTCAAGAGCCCCACCCACCTGGTATCAGAGCCTCGGAGGCTGTTGAAGCGATAGAGCCCTGCAACAGCCCTTGCTCCCCCACGCGGCCCCTGCTCTCTGCCTGTGCGGGCAGACAAGGACGCCTCAAGAGCCCCACCCATCTGGTATCAGAGCCTCGGATGCTGTTGAAGCGATAGAGCCCTGCCACAGCCCCTTCTCCTCCCCCGCGCGACCCCTGCTGCTCCCCGCCAGTGCGGGCAGACGAGGACGCCTCAGCAGCAGCGCATCCGCGTTCAACTCCCCCCCCATGCCCCCCATTCCCCCCATTCACTCCATTCCCTCCCAATACAACCCCCGAACTCAGCACCTCAAGAGCCCTACCCACCTGGTATCAGAGCCTCGCAGGCTGTTGAAGCGATACAGCCCTGCCACAGCCCCTTCTCCTCCCCCGCGCGACCCCTGCTGCTCCCCACCAGTGCGGGCAGACGAGGACGCCTCAGCAGCAGCGCATCCGCGTTCAACTCCCCCTCCATGCCCCCCATGCCCCCCATGCCCCCCATTCCCTCCATTCCCTCCCAATACAACCCCCAAGCTCAGCACCTCAAGAGCCCTACCCACCTGGTATCAGAGCCTCGCAGGCTGTTGAAGCGATACAGCCCTGCCACAGCCCCTTCTCCTCCCCCGCGCGACCCCTGCTGCTCCCCCCCTGTGCGAGCAGACGAGGAGGGCAGCAGCAGCGCATCCGCGTTCAACTCTCCCTCCATGCCCTCCATGCCCTCTACATAGAGGAATGGTTGGCTCCAGGAGCGGGAAGGCGAGGGTAGTGCTGTGAGCTGCTCTGTGAAATAGCGCCGCTTGATGAGCTGGAGGAGGAGGGGAAGGGGGGGACGAATTGGAGGAGATGGGCTTTAGGGTGACGTGAGGGCAGGAGGAGGGAGTGAGGTGGCAACGTGCTGCAGGGTAAGGGACAGACATGGAAGCTAGGACAATCCAAGGGGCTTTGGGAATGCTCACGAGTCACGACTGCTAGTCTGTGTGTTGAGAGATCTCATAAGCAAGCAGGGCAGGGGAGCCACAGGGTGGTGATCAGCCTGATGAGAATGCTCGTGAGCAAGTTTTTGAGACAGTCTCAAAAACAACCTCGCTGCGCAGGGCAGCCACAGGGCGGCGATCGATTCAGCCTGATGAGAACGCTCGTGAGCAAGCAAGCAAGAAAGCAAGAAAGCAAGCAAGCAGGGCAGCCACAGCGCCACAGGTGGTGACATTTGAGTCGACTCAGAAGTCACCTTTTGAGTCGACTCAAGAATGCTCGTGAGCAAGCAAGCGGGGCAGCCACAGCCCGACAGGTGGTGGCCTGGCCTGCGGCAAGACAAAGACTCGCTGTTACCAGACCAGGCTCACCTGCAGGAACAAGGCATCCACTGCTGCCAGCCAGGTCCAGGCGGCCCTGCTTCGCACCTTTTGCTGCCACACCTGCTGTTGTCTCACCCGCTGTTCATTCATGCACCTGGTGCGCTGCACTGTAGACTCGCTGGCTCACCTGCAGGAAGAAGGCATCCACTGCTGCTAGGTCCAGGCGGCCCTGCTTCGCACACTGTGTGTGTTGTGGGCCAGCACACACGGGCGGAGGAGGGGGAGGACAGAGCGAGGGAGAGGAAAGCATGAGTGGCAGAAGAAATGAGGCTTGCAGTGCAGTGGCAGCACCAACGCACCTGGGACCAGGGTCGGCGGCAATGCGCATAATCAGCGACAGCGCCCTATTCCACCCATTGCTTTCCACCCCTGCTTTCCTGCCATTGCTGCTGTCCCTCGCCCTTCCTTTCGACCACACAGGAGCAGCAGCAGCAACAACAGTGGCGCCTCAACCCCCCTCCACTCCACTCACCTCCACTCACCCCCACTCACCAGAATGACCCCGGCGTCCCTGGGATTCCAAACATACTCTGGCACCTCCCCCTGCATGTTTTCCCCTAGTTTTTTCCAAGACTCGAAAATCTTCCCACCTTAGACTCGATCTTCCCACTCACCTCACCTCACCTCACCGCAATGAGCCCCGCGCCCCTGGGACTTCGAATGTACTCTGCCAACTCCCCCCTCACTTCCTCCTATTCGTGACTCGACTCAAACACCTTCCCAGTCGCCTCAACCCCCCACCCCTCTCACCGCAATGAGCCCGGCGCCTCTCGGATTCCGAATATACTCGGGCAGCTCGCCCCGCTTCCGCCTTCCAAACGACCTCAGCCCGTACCGCTCCACAACGGTCTTGGCATGCTTCATCGCATACTCCAACGTCCTGCTGCTCCTAGCAGCGCGCAGAAGCTTCACCCTCCCCTGCAGCACGGGGTCCTTGTCTCGGAGGTCGTCCTTGTTGCCGATCACGAGGAGAGGGACTGGCAGCTGCCCCTCGCGGTGCCCGTGGGAGGGCGCAGAGAAGGTGCCGCTGCGCACCAGCTCGTCCATCCACTGCAACGCTGCGACTCTCGACTTCTTGCGGGATAGGTCATGCACGAATATGACGCCTGCGAGGGGGTGGAGGGCGGGGGGGAAGGGGAGGCAGTGGAGGGGGGGAAGAGGGGAGGAAGGAGGGGGATGGGAGGGGCAGAGGGTGGGGCATGAGGAGCACAGTAGCAGCGCGCAGCAGCTTGACCCGGCCCTGTAGTTGCAGCACGGGGTCCTTGTCTCGGAGGTCGTCCTTGTTGCCGATCACGAGGAGAGGGACTGGCAGCTGCCCCTCGCGGTGGCCGTGGGAGGGCGCAGAGAAGGTGCCGCTGCGCACCAGCTCGTCCATCCACTGCAACGCTGCGACTCTCGACTTCTTGCGGGATAGGTCATGCACGAATATGACGCCTGCGAGGGGGTGGAGGGCGGGGGGGAAGGGGAGGCAGTGGAGGGGGGGAAGAGGGGAGGAAGGAGGGGGATGGGAGGGGCAGAGGGTGGGGCATGAGGAGCACAGTAGCAGCGCGCAGCAGCTTGACCCGGCCCTGTAGTTGCAGCACGGGGTCCTTGTCTCGGAGGTCGTCCTTGTTGCCGATCACGAGGAGGGGGACGGGGAGCTGCCCCTGGCGGTGCCCGTGGGAGGGCGCAGAGAAGGTGCCGCTGCGCACCAGCTCGTCCATCCACTGGAGTGCTGCCACACGGGACTTTTTTCGGGATAGGTCATGCACGAAAATGACGCCTGGGAGAGGAGGGGGGCGGGGGGAGGGGGGAGGGGGGAGGGACGGGATGGGGAATGGGGAGGAAGGAAGGGGGTGGGAGGGGCAGATGGTGGGGAATGAGCACTATGAGCACGATGGCAGCAGCTTGACCCGGCCCTGTAGTTGCAGCACGGGGTCCTTGTCTCGGAGGTCGTCCTTGTTGCCGATCACGAGGAGGGGGACGGGGAGCTGCCCCTCGCGGTGCCCGTGGGAGGGCGCAGAGAAGGTGCCGCTGCGCACCAGCTCGTCCATCCACTGCAACGCTGCGACTCTCGACTTCTTGCGCGAGAGATCATGCGCAAAGATGACACCTGGGGGGGGGGAGGAGGGGAGAGAAGGGGGCGGCAGTGGAAGGGGGAGAGGGAAGGAAGGAGGGTGGTGGGAGGGGCAGACGGTGGGGCATCAGCACGGCGTATACGCGGTGTTCTGCTGCTCCTGGCAGCGCGCAGCAGCTTGACCCGGCCCTGCAGCACGGGGTGTCCTTGTGGCGAATGCCAGTCATCCTTGTGGCGAATGCCAGTCATCCTTGTGGCGAATGGACCAAATAGTAGACCCATCCACACGTACCGTTAATCTGGTCGTAGAAGAGCGAGCGAGACGACTTGTACTGCTCGCTGCCTGACAACTTCTCTTCTGAGGCGCCTCATAAGTCCCCCCACCCCTTTCCCTCCGGCATACACACACGCACACGTACCGTTGATCTGATCGTAGAAGAGCGAGCGAGACGACTTGTACTGCTCGCTGCCTGACAACTTCTCTTCTGAGGCGCCTCATAAGTCCCCCCACCCCTTTCCCTCCGGCATACACACACGCACACGTACCGTTGATCTGATCGTAGAAGAGCGAGCGAGACGACTTGTACTGCTCGCTGCCTGACAACTTCTCTTCTGAGGCGCCTCATAAGTCCCCCCACCCCTTTCCCTCCGGCATACACACACGCACACGTACCGTTGATCTGATCGTAGAAGAGCGAGCGAGACGACTTGTACTGCTCGCTGCCTGACAACTTCTCTTCTGAGGCGCCTCATAAGTCCCCCCACCCCTTTCCCTCCGGCATACACACACGCACACGTACCGTTGATCTGATCGTAGAAGAGCGAGCGAGACGACTTGTACTGCTCGCTGCCTGACAACTTCTCTTCTGAGGCGCCTCATAAGTTCCCCCACCCCTTTCCCTCCGGCATACACACACGCACACGTACCGTTGATCTGATCGTAGAAGAGCGAGCGAGACGACTTGTACTGCTCGCTGCCTGACAACTTCTCTTCTGAGGCGCCTCATAAGTCCCCCCACCCCTTTCCCTCCGGCATACACACACGCACACGTACCGTTGATCTGATTGTAGAAGAGCGAGCGAGACGACTTGTACTGCTCGCTGCCTGACACGTCCCACACCTCCACAAAGAACCCCCGCCGCCCCTCCTCGCCACCCCCGCCACCACCACTGCCCACCGCTGCCACCCTACTGCTGACGCTGCTGCTGCTTGGGTCTGTGCGCAGGTGGGATGTGGAGTCCGCTGGCACTGGCCCTGCCTGGGGGCTGTACTCCATGTACTGTGCATGCCATGCCATGCCATGCCATGCCATGCCATGATGCCATACCATGTCATGATACCATGTCACCATGCCATGCCATCATTCATGATGCCATGCCATAACAAGCCATGCCACGTCCCACAGACACATGCGCCGCACAAGAGGGATATTCAGCATAGAGCGCGCATTGGAGGCATGCAGATAACGACAATAACGCGAGAGTAACGCGACCTGAGCATCTGAGGGGAAAAGAAATAAATACTCATGCCAGCTCCAAACGCGACCGATACTCCATGCTTTTTCAGCCGACTCAAAAAGCTTCAAGCATGACCGGTTGCGATGGATATAGCGAGTCACTCATACCACTGTGACGCCCTTCATAATCGCCCCACTTCTAGCAGTGTCATCTTGACGCCGTTCACTGCAAGCCGCCTCACCTATACGCCCTTCACTCTCCACCGTCTCACCTTGACACCCTTCACTCTCCACCGTCTCACCTTGACACCCTTCACTCTCCACCGTCTCACCTTGACACCCTTCACTCTCCACCGTCTCACCTTGACACCCTTCACTCTCCACCGTCTCACCTTGACACCCTTCACTCTCCACCGTCTCACCTTGACACCCTTCACTCTCCACCGTCTCACCTTGACACCCTTCACTCTCCACCGTCTCACCTTGACACCCTTCACTCTCCACCGTCTCACCTTGACACCCTTCACTCTCCACCGTCTCACCTTGACACCCTTCACTCTCCACCGTCTCACCTTGACACCCTTCACTCTCCACCGTCTCACCTTGACACCCTTCACTCTCCACCGTCTCACCTTGACACCCTTCACTCTCCACCGTCTCACCTTGACACCCTTCACTCTCCACCGTCTCACCTTGACACCCTTCACTCTCCACCGTCTCACCTTGACACCCTTCACTCTCCACCGTCTCACCTTGACACCCTTCACTCTCCACCGTCTCACCTTGACACCCTTCACTCTTCACCGTCTCACCTTGACACCCTACACTCTCCACCGTCTCACCTTGACACCCTTCACTCTCCACCGTCTCACCTTGACACCCTTCACTCTCCACCGTCTCACCTTGACGCCCTTCACTGCTAGCCGTCTCACCTTGACACCCTTCACTCTCCACCGTCTCACCTTGACACCCTTCACTCTTCACCGTCTCACCTTAACACCCTTCACTCTCCACCGTCTCACCTTGACACCCTTCACTCTCCACCGTCTCACCTTGACACCCTTCACTCTCCACCGTCTCACCTTCACGCCCTTCACTGCTAGCCGTCTCACCTTGACGCCCACAGTGCAGCCGACTGTACGTGGAGGCTGTGCTGTAGGGTGGCCGTTGAGAATGAGATGCACCAAGGACGTCTTGCCCACCCCTGTGCCACACAATGGGTGAGACGCATGGGTGAGGGACGGAGAATGCATGTGATTTGAATGCACGAGAACATAACATGACTAGACGCAGCCGTTGAAAATGAGGTGCACCAAGGACATCTTGCCCACCCCTGTGCCACACAATGGGTGAGGCGGCACCGGTGGCATGAAGAAGCAGGAGAGAAGAGAGGGAGTTTGAGAGGGGGGGAGGGAGGGGAGCGAGTGGGGTTGGGAGGACAAGAGGAGGGCGAGCAACTGAGAGAGGGAGAGGGGTTGGGAGCGAGGATGTGCTTTGAATGCACGTGTACGTGAGTGGACGCATGGCTTTTATATAACTGCAACTTTTGTATCTATCTGCAATAAATGCACATTTTGCATTATCTGTGTCATCTGAAGCCCCATTCCACACCCTTCTCTTCTCCCCTCCCTTCCACACGTACCTGAGTCCCCAACCACCATCACACGAACTTGTCCTGCCGGCACACTCCCGCCCCCTCCCACTCCGCCTACTCCTCCTCCGCCCCCGCCCGCCCCTCTGCCCGCCCATCCTCCACCACCCCCCCCCATCTGACCGCCATCTGGCCACTGGCTCATCAACACCACCGCTCTGCACCGCTGCACACCGTTCCCTGGACTGCCTCAGAGAGTCAGCTCACGATATCAGGAGGGCAAGCGGACGGGACAACTGGAGGAGGGGTGCAGTGCGGGCCTGAGGTCCGGGTGTGGCGGTGAGAGGGGGAGACGGGCTCATCTGCTTGAGTGGCTGGTAGGCACAGAGCACGCCGTTAAAACAGGTCCTTCTGCTACCCGTCCTCTCGGAGTAATCCCTTCTGAGGTGAATCCCTCTGAAATGAATCCCTTCTGAGATGAATCTGAATCTGACGTGAGCGGTTCAAGGTGAGATCTTCTAAAGCGGGATGACCTGACTGCTCACGTGGATCAACCAGGACGATTCCTGGTAACTCCTACTAAGCTGACCGTCACAACAAGCGATTTCTGTGGGCTCAACGTCCAGAGACTTCACCGGTGTGATTTGGATGCGACGACGCTTCACCGCTACACAGGATGCGGTGCCGCCGGCAGGCAGGATGTGCGAAGATGTGCGAGGGGAGTGAGAACACAGGAACACAGGAAGCAACTGGATCCGACAGAGTGACTTCTCAGTCGGAAGTCACAAAACATCAGGACGCGAGAGGACGGACGGAACGGCTGAATTCGACGGTCACTGAACTCCACTGTGGGTTCGGTTCAACAGTCCACGCCGGGAGCGAACGAGCTCGCGCCACTCGACTACAACACAGCGAATTCGGTAAAGCCTGAGCAATGGCAAAGGTTAAAGTCCTCTCTGGGCCCGCGATCATCCACGGGAGAATCCAGAAAGCAGTCGCTGGGATCTCAGTAACGTGCAGGTGAGGTTTGATGCAGTTGATAAGCTACGTTAGGCTTTTCAGCAGTGTGGATTCAGTGCTTTCAGCAGCGCAGCGGTGTAGGAGGAGCGAACGCGTGGAGAGCGTGCGGCAACGGCGCGGAGAAGGCCGAAAGCGGACACGTCTAAATCAATACGGCTGCTGCTACTGCTGCTGCTGCTGCTGCTGTTGCTGCTGCTGCTGCAGCGGTTGCACGCGACCTACCGCTTGACCGTCGTTCGTAAGGCTCAGCGACACGCAGCGAGATCGCAACGGCGACCTAGATTCTATATTGCTTCTAAGCACGGAGATCACCACTGCAAGCACCTCGCTCGAACACCCGTTGACGGCTGCAGCACACAGTACCCACCCGCTGATGCTGCTGCTGGAAACTAACACTGATGAATGTGATACTGTATGTATCGACATGCAGATAAATGCGCTGTACATGGGTCTGCGACTCACAGAGCGAGACGAGTCACCTCTTGGACAATGCGATGCGAGTAGAGAGCAGCGCAGTCGAGAGCATGGCAGGTGGTGTCAGATTCTCGGTGGGATGTGTGGTCATGGTTGGTTCGAACTCCGGAGCTTCAAAACAGCCCACGTAAGACTTTCCTTACGGGACAGTTCGGTTACTGGTTTGAAAAGGCAGTACACTCTATATGGATACATTGTTAGGCCCGACGGCCTAAGTCCGCTAAAGAATTAGCGGGGTCGACTAAGTCGAGGATGAAACGTGGCGGAAGACTTTGGCGAAAGAACTATTGGCGAAATAGGCGAAGAAGTTACTGAGTAATTGAAGAAGAGTTGAATGAGAATTGATTGATAATGGCAAGTACAAGCAAGGTTTATATAGCATGCAAGAAACAAGGTTGGAAAGTGGAATGTGGGACCAAGAATTGGAGTGCAAGAAAAGTAGAGTGCCACGTGGCACTAGAGAATCTGAGAAGATAAGGATAATGGTGACTAGAAATGTACTGTTCGGAATGAACAGTAAACACCCCTCTAACACTACCCCCCGCCCAAGGAGGCGACGTCCGCGGCGCCTGCAGACTGAAGGTACGCTTGGAGGCAAGCGTTGTCAGGAGACAGCGAGGACGAAGGAACCCAGCTGTCGTCTGCTGCGTCGTAACCACGCCAACGAACCAAGAAGTCGATGAAAGTGACACCCCCCTGGAGACGGCGACGGTGCCTGAGGATGCGCTGGATCTGGTAGTCGGGCTCGTCGGTGTCAACAGCTACCGGCAGTGGAGTGCGATCACGGCCCGAGAAGGTGGCATTGGGATCGGTGTATGGGCGAAGGAGAGACACGTGGAATGACGGGTGCATGCGGAAATGTGCGGGAAGGCGAAGGCGGTATGCGACTGGACCTAGTGCGCGCTCAATGACGAATGGACCAATGAAACGTGGACGAAGCTTGCTGTCCTGTGGCAGTCGGAGGTTGCGGCTATCCAAGAGAACACGGTCGCCGACTGCGAACGACACCTCACGACGACTGCGGTTGGTGGTGCGTGCCATGCGTGCATTTGCGAGCTCAAGGTGCTTCCTCACGTGATCATGAATGAAGGTGAGATGCTGGTGGAAGTTGTCCGCACGAGGGACTGTGGGTGTGAGATCGACACGAGTGGGGACATTGGGGTGCTGACCGTAAAGTGCAAAGAACGGTGACATGCCTGTGGCGGAGTGGTGCGTGTTGTTGTAGGCGAACTCTGCCAACCTCAGCTTCTTGTCCCATGCGGCTGCGTCGTGCATCGTGATGCTGCGAAGGATCTGCTCCAAGGTCTGGTTCACACGCTCGGTCCGTCCGTCTGTCTCTGGGTGGTACGCATACGACATGGCTAAGCGAGTCCCAAACAGTGCGAAAAGCTGCTTCCAGAACTTCGAAGTGAAACGAGGGTCGCGGTCTGAGATGATGGAATCTGGAACCCCGTGCAGTCGGACTACGTTATCTACGAACAGCGTCGCGGCTTCCTCTGCTGTGACCTTGCCGTGCGTGGGGATGAAATGCGCTGCTCGAGAAAACTTATCCACTACTACGAAGATGGCGTCGTGACCCCTAACTGTGCGCGGTAAAGCCATGATGAAGTCCATGGTAACTACCTGCCAAGGGCGGTCGGGCGGTGGAATCGGCTGCAAGAGTCCTGCTTTGCGCTGGCGAGAGGACTTCGTACGCTGACACGTGTCGCACGAGCGAATGTAATCCTCTACGTCTGCTGCAAGCCCGGGCCAGTAGTACGTGCGACTAAGCGTCTTAGCCGTCTTATCTGCTCCAAAGTGCCCTGCACTAACTACGTCGTGCGCCTCTGAGAGAAGGAGCTGTCGAAGAGGGCGGTAGGCTGGAACCCAAATCCGTGTGGTACCCTTCCGTATGTAGACACTACCCTGCACCTCTGCTCCTGCGGGCGGCTGCGGTATGAAGTCGGGATCTACTGTGTAACCGTGCTCGAAGAGTGCTGTGAGAAGTGGGTGGCCAGCAGTGACTGTGAGACTGGCGAGCTGACAACTAGGGCGAGTGAGCGGATCTGCTGGGTTGCGCACGCCTGGCTTGTACTCTATCCTGTAGTGAAAGCTCCCTTCCATGAACTCCATCAACCTAGCCTGGCGACGACTCAGCTGCGGCTGCGACTTGAGGAAACGAAGCGAACAGTGGTCCGTGCGTATAACACTATCTGCCCCCTCTAGGTAGCACCTCCACACCTTATACGCATGGATGATCGCGAGCGCCTCCTTGTCGTGTATGGGATAGTTCAACTCCGCTCCCCTAAGCTTACGCGACTCGTACGCGATCGGCTGCAACCCGCGTCCCTGGTCCTGAAGAAGCACTGCTCCTATGGCCTGATCGGAAGCGTCGGTCACTACAACGTATGGGCGAGTGGGATCAGGGTACGACAGTGTCGGTGAAGACGTGAGCGACTGCTTCATCTGCTCGAACGCCTGCTGCTGCGCTGGACCCCAAACGTACTCTACGCCCTTTCGAAGTAGGTCGGTGAGTGGACTAGCGATCGATGCGTAACCCTGAACGAAACGACGGTAGTAGTTCGTGAAACCGAGGAAGCTCTGCAACTCCTTGACTGAGGTCGGTGCTACCCAATCCTGTACTGCTGCGATCTTCTTCGGGTCAGTCCTAATGCCACTAGCGGATACGACGTGTCCTAGGAACTCGACCTCTGGAAGGAAGAACTCGCACTTCGACTGCTTAGCGTATAACTGCTCCCTCCGTAAGACCTCGAAGACCTTCTGCAAGTGCTGCACGTGCTCATCTTTCGTCTTAGAGAACACTAGGATGTCGTCTAGGTAAACGACAACGAACGACCCTAGGAACTCGGAGAGGACTGTGTTCATGAGCGTCTGAAACGTCGCTGGGGCGTTGGTCAATCCGAACGGTAGAACCCTAAACTCGTACAACCCCTGCTTCGTACGAAACGCCGTCTTGTGCTGGTCCTCTGGAACTACTCGAATCTGGTGGTAACCCGAACGAAGGTCGATCTTTGAGAAGACTCTAGCGCCCTGCACTGCATCGAGAAGATCCTCTACTCTCGGCACCGGGAATCTATTCTTGACGGTGGCGGCGTTCAGTGCGCGGTAATCTATGCACATCCGTAACCCTCCGTCTTTCTTGGGTGCGAAAAGTATCGGTGCGGCCCAAGGCGATCTAGATGGCTGTATGAAACCCTGTGCGAGAAAGTGCCTAACTTGCTGCGTCATCTCCTCTGTCTCCGCTGGACTCAACCTCCATTGCGGCTTCGCTACTGGCCTGCTCCCCGGCTCCAATTCTATTCGATGGTCTACTGCTCGGCTGGGAGGCAACCCTGGGGGCAACTCGTCGGGAAAGACGTCTGCGAACTCTGCTAACAGTGCACTCACCTCAGCAGGAAGAGTCGCCTTCTCACTAACTGCTGCACTCCCTCCTTTCCCC